CTGGGGAATTCTGGGAGTTGAAGTCCACACAGCTTAAAGCAGGCTGGCAGCGAATTCTGGGAGTTGAAGTCCACACAGCTTAAACCGTTCAGCAGTAAACTGGCTGAAAAACCACAGGCTGAAGCCAAGCCGTCTTGTTGCCACTGAGAAAGGGCTTTCTCTCCCCAGCCACCACTTCAAGATCTAAATTCGCATCAGGGTACGGCCAGCAAGCTGCTTCATCTCAGCTACGCTCCTTTTGACCGGCTTATTTACCAAATGGATTTATTGGTCACATGTATACGGCTGCCCATCTCCCGAAAAATGACTCTTCATTGCAACACACGCTCTTGTGCGCTGAAAATATCTTAATGAAGTAAACTAGAAATCAGCTGGGGTGTGGACTGTTCCATATTCATTTAGCCCCAGCTTTAGTTGGAGGCATGTCATTCGTATTACTGCTGCCAGCCTCTAAAACCTAATATATGCACGATGCAAAATAAGACGGTGGCGTCCTTGGGCTGCATCCTGGCCAAGCCAGGGTGGGGAATACAGTGCATTAATGCCACTCCAACACCCACCCACCCCTCCGCAATTGGTATAAAAAATCCAATAGAGAGGAGAATTTGAAGGCCATTCTCTGGTATCTCATTTTTACGACGTGGAACCAGCTTTATTTTGGAAGCAACAAAAAATCTTCCCCACCTTTCAAGGGAGAAGCAAGAAATCGCCACTTGGCTTCTCAAGCGCATAGCATTAGCCACAGGGAGCCATTCGGTCTGCCACAGGCTGCATCAGAATGGGTGACAGCATCTTCATCGCTCTTTCTCTCAGGTACCGTAACAGCAACCTTCACTCAATTATGCTTAGTCAACGTATCATTTTGAAAGAGGAGTAAATATTGAAAGATTAATTAGATCTCCCTGGGACAAACAACAGTCATGACTAATAGATATTGACTAGGAAAACATGCTCGAGCTGTCTTCCCCAATCAGCAACATCTCTGCTGTGAGCTTCAAGGACTGCATGCGGGCGGACTTCCTTTGTTGTACCAGTTCAGTATCATCGGATCATCTGCAAGTGAATTCCTTCTAACCATGCTTTCCGGGGAGTTCAGAGGCATCACAACGCTGATCGCTTTCCATGCAACCCTTGCAACCACTCTCCAGTTTCCCAAGTCACTGCAACTTTCAACAACATTTTAAAACTTGACATGGGGTCCCCATTGTCACGTTTGTGTCGCACGATGATTTCCAAGTGAATAGAGGTTTGCAAAAACAAAAAGCCAAAAAACCAAAACCAAGAGGACAGGGCAGAGGCCCTGAAAAATATTAATGTCCCATCCTACTGTTTTTAGATTCCTGAAAGAACTTTTATCCCATTGGCTGAGTTCACCCAACATGCTTAACCAGGTTGAGCAGCTCCGTTTACATGTTTGGGGGAGGAGGCTCATCAGGTTGCATGAACTTGGACCACCTGTCCAGTTCATAACAATGCCTCAGACAAGCCAAAACTTCAGTAAATTCAGTAACATGGTTGAGTGTGCTCTGTGATTATGTCTGGAGGTTGAGTCATGGCAACTGGACTTTTCTTTTTCTTTTTTTTTCTTTTCTTTTTTTAATTATTTTTTTATTAGTAGAGTCTCAAAGAGTTGGACAAGTAGTGAAACGTCTCTACCAAAAAGAAAAGAAATCCAGTTGCCATGACTCCAGACAATTCCACCTGGATGACTGAGAATCTTCATAAACATCTGTGATTATGGCCACTTTTTCTCTTGCAAGTTCCTTTACAGGCAGTCCTCATTTAGCAACCACAATTGAGACCGGCAACTGGGTTGTTAAATGGACCGGTCACTAAGTGAAACTGCAACTGTGCTTATGATCTTCCTTCAGCTTTCCTTTGCTTTACAGACCTGCAAAGGTCGTAAATGCGAGGATTGGTTGCAAAGTTACTTTTTCATTCCTGTTATAGCTTCAGTTGCTTAACAAGGCAGTCACTTAGCGAGAACTACCTGTATTAAGATAGCACCTTGAGCTTATTCAGCATGTTTGAAATTCCTATCTTCTGTAACTCACTGGAGACCCACCAACCTTTCTGCATATGCCCATTGTGGATATTGTAATTTTATGTGCCACTTTGTGCCATGCTGATTTCTGCACCACAATAGACTGGAAATCCACTGTGGCTCTGGAACACCATTATCCGCTCCAGCCTCCAGCCCCATATTTGGATCACCTGCCACTGTTTCCCCACCCTGTGAAAGGGCTCCAGTTGCAATCCCCTACAAGCCACATGGACAACCATGAACTGAGAACTCATCATGGTCGCTAAGGAGTTGCAGCGCACCCCTGTATGCTTTGGATGAGGGAAGGCAGAACTTTGGAGACACGTCACTCAGCGGCACACCTCTTGCAAAAATCACCCACTGATATTCATGGGCTAATTTGAGCAGAGGGTGTTCCTAAGTTGGTGGCTTCCACACCTACACTGTGCCTACTTCTTCCAGCAGCTTCTTAGTCCCAGTTCCTTCCTTCCCATCTTCCATTCCTTTCCCCAGCAGGGATTCTGAAAGAACAGCAGGAGCACCTCAGGATTCTCTGCAGATGCCTCTCCCTTCAACTCCAGGCGCGCACCCGCCATCTCTTATCTTTATTAGAAGCACTAGATGTGAGGTGCAATCGGTTGCACGCACCTCCAGGGTGTTTGGATGAAGGTAAGCACTGCTGACTACGAGATCTGACTGGAAAGGCACCCAAAGGCAACTAGCAGCTTCCAGCCATTTAGGATCCAGGCACCACTCTCCAATTCTCCAAGCATCAGGTCAACCTGTTCCATGGCGTTCCCACCTTTCCCCGTGGTTAGGCAGCCCGTGGCCATCACCAGATGCTGCCAGTCTCCATACCGCGATTGGAAAACCGACCTGTTTGACTGCTGTGCCGACAAATCCATTTGTGAGTATGTTCTGGGGACTGCCCGGGGAGGGAGAAGCCCCCCAGGCACCACTACATTCCTCCATTAGAGCAAAGCCACCCTTCTATTTGGTCCGGCACCCACTGGGCCGCTTTTGACATAGGGGATGAAGGTGGCTTTTGGGACTTGACCCACAGCACCACGTGCCAGCTGTTCCCACTGCAGAGATGCTGGCTCTTACCACCTTCCCTGGTCATGCCCTTGTTCCTCTACCCATTTAATTACCTGGCAGGTAAGATTTGGGTTATCACAGGTGCCTTTGCATCTTGCAACTTCAGGGCCCTAATCTGAGGGCTGATGCTGAAAAACACACCGGGGCGGGTGTCGCTTCTCAAATTCAAGGGCTCCCCTTCCATCCCCAGGCATCTGCGGCATCTGCGTTCCCTGCCTCGCCTGCAAAGTGGGGGCAGAGTATGGTGAATGCTGCTGCATCCCATTCTTCCCCGGGGCTCTGGTGGCCATGCGGACAGGCCTGCGAGAACAGCTGCGCATCAAGGTACCATCTGTTTCCCGGAGATCGTGCGCCGAGGGGCTCTCTGGCAGCTGGGGCTGCAGCTTTATCAGGGGAGATTTTGAGCTAAGAGGACTCGGCAGAACAAAGGCGGAGAAGCAAGTGGGAGGAATAGCTCCAGAAGAGCTTGCGAGCTGGTTTGAATTATCTGAAGTTTGCATTTGTTGTGCCTCCCTGCTCATCCTAGGTCCCGGGGTGGGGAGGGAGGCATGGCAAACAGTCTCTTCGTGCTGGAGCTTGCTCCGTGGATCTAACAAATGAACGTTAAGCCAGAAAGAGGACAGAGGCTATTTTTCACTTTTAATCAGAGATTGTGGGGAGGTGTTGGAATTGGGAAGGCGCAGCAACCACAGAGCATGAGTTAAATAGAAGACATTGCAGTCATTTTTTTTTTCTTTCCAAGGGGACCGTGTGCTGTGACTGGGCAGCTACCTGCTGTTGTTGCCCCTGTGCCCTTTGCCAGATGGCACGAGAGCTGAAGAGCCCGTGTTAACCTCTCTCGGAATTCCTGAAGTCCCATTCCCGACTGACAGGAAAGAGGAGAAATAGGGGATAATAGCAACAGAGGGAATGCAGCAGGACACCTCAGGCAATGCTTTGCTAAGAACTGAAAGCACACCCCAATCTTCCTCCTCCC